TTGCCCAGTTTCTAGCTGTTTTCTGCAAGAAGCCAGTTTGTTCGGAGCTCAGTCCTACAGATCGAAAGCAGAGCTTTTCGTCCTCACTCGCGAGCAGCAGACCAGAGCTGCCCACTCCCAGGCCCAGCCCTGCTCCTGGAGACCCCAGTGCCCCTGAGCCCCCTGCCTACCCAAGAGGGAGAGACGCAGTGTGCAGGGCATCGGGGGCTCACCTTTGTTAGGACATACACAAGGCAGACTGTATACACTTGGTACTTCTGTGCTCACGGGAGCACAGACACATGTCTAGAGTAGACTTGTTTCATAAAATAAGAAAACAAATAATATACCTGGAGAAAAGATGTGAATTACTATGGAATTTCAGCTGGAGTTTAAAAACCACCTATATAGATGAGACATATAAGTTGTTGCCGAAAAACCTAAGAATATTTCTTTGTTAAAGGAGGAGGTCGAGGTATGGTTGTTGAATCTGTTTTTTTGTTTCAAGGACTTATTTACACAGTCATCTGTTTCCAAGGGATTCAGGCCACAGCTTTCCCTCTGCCTCTTTCCTGTTCTAAATTTGCTGTGTGTGTAACTAAGAAGAGCACCTGACTGCATATAATAGATAGTTCAGGTCATGTTTTTACGATGGTAATTAGCATCCTTTTGTGTTAGCTTGAAGAAGTCCCTTTAGCATTTCTTATCAGGCAATTCTAGTAATGATGAGCTTCCTCAGCTTCTGTTTGTTTGAAAGGGTCTATTTCTCCTTTAATTCTGTAGGACAGCTTGGTTGAGTACTAATCTTGGTTAACAGGTATTTTCTTTCAATGTTTTGAATATGTCTTCCCACTCTCTCTTGCCCTTCCATGGGCCTGTTCAGAAATTCACGGACAGTTTTATGGGGGCTTTCTTGGATGTGACAAGTTACTTTTCTCTTGCTGCTTTCAATATTCTGTCTTTGTCTTTGACTTTGACAAGTTAGTTATAAAGAGTGTTGGTGTAGCCCTTTTCAGATTCAACCTTTTAGGTCCTTTGGGCTGTAAATATATGGATGCCCCTTTCTCTCCCCAAATTCTGGAGTTTTCAATCATTGTTGTTTTAAATAGACTTTGTGTCCTTTCTTTTTCTTTTCTCCTTCTAGGAGTCTTATAATGCCTATGTTTCTTCTCGGTAATGTCTCCTAAGTCCTCCAGGAATTCTTCACTCTTTTCCATTCTTCTTTTGCTCCTCTGACTGGATAATTTCAAATAACCTATTTTCTAGTTCACTGATTTTTTTTCTGCTTTATTGAGCCTGATGTTGAAGCTCTGTGTTGAATTCTTCAGTCCAGTCATTATATTCTTCAGTTCTAGGATTTCTGTTTGTCTATCTTTTTGATGATTCATTTTTCTTTGTTAAACTTCTCATTTTGTTCATGCATTGTTTTCCTCATTTAATTGAGTTGTCTGTCTGTGTGTTCTTATAGTTTGCTTAACCTCTTTAAGAGGATTATCCTAAATTTGTCAGACAGTTTATAGATCTCTATTTCTTTAGGGGCAATTATTAGTTTTTTAGTTTCCTTAGGTGGTGTCATGTTCTCCTTATTCTTCATGACTCTTAGTTTCTTTTGTTGGTACTAGTGCATTTGAGTAAACGGTCTCCTCTTCCAGAAGTTACAGGTTAGTCTAAGCAGGAAATGACCTTCATTGGTCAGCTCTGCTTTGGGTACTGAATGGAACCGCTGGTAGTAGCATCCATGCAGGAGGGGAATGTTATCAGGGTCTCGGGTGGGTGAGGCCACTGCTGTGCTCTGAAGTTGAGGGGTGGATGCTGGCTGAGCTTTGTGGTTGGTTGGGCCACCCGAATGGGCAGAGCTGCCAGCACTACAATTAGATGGGGCCACTTGCTTGGCTCTGCAATCACCTCTGGTCTTGCGAGTTTCCTGGGGTAGTGCCAGTGGTTGGATGCTGTGATTGGGCAATGTTACAGGGTAGACCCTTCAATAGCTCCTGTTTGGGTGAAGTTTCAGGCTATCCTCCTCAGCCTGATGTTCCCACTGGCCGGACACCATGTTTAAGAGGGGCCACGGGCAAGATTTCACTGTCGGATGGGGCCTCATCCTGTGCTGTTACAAGGCAGGGCAGAAGTCTTTTGCCTTACTTTGGCAGGGCTGCGGGTTGCCTTCACAATCAGTGAGGCCACTGAATGTGCTCTGCTGCTGGCAGGGATCTTGGCCACATTCTGGTTGAGAGAGGTCTCCAGCTGTAACCTGCAGTTGGGAGGTACTAGAGACTGCTCCACTTTGGGCAAGATTCTCTCTAGTCTCCTTCATTGGGTAGGTTTCAAGCTATGCGCTGATTGGGTAAGGTCACTAACTAGGTTCCTACATAGGTGAGGTCATGGACTGTTTTGGCAGTTAGAGAGGCCAATAGGCTGTGCTCTGCTGATGGGCAGGGCTAAAGACTGGGTTCTGTGGCTTATTGGCACCACAGGGTTGTCCTTGTAGCTGCCAGATTTCCTGGCCAGATTTCCTGGCCAGATTTCCTGGATGGCCAGGACCAGGAGCTACACTCAGCAGTTGGATGGAGCTGCAAAGTTGCTTTACCCCTTGGGTGGGGTGCTAGAACGGGCTCAATGGTTGGTACGACCTGACCAGGGACCCAAATCGGTCAGAACTGCCAACCAAACCCTCTGGTCACAGGGGACCACTGGCTCGGCTCTGCAGAAGTGCAGAGCCACTAGATGGGATCTCTGCTTAGGGACCACGCCAAGCACAAATGTGGTCCCTCCCCCAGGTCTGAGTGCTGGTTGCTGCAAGCCCCACTCTTGCCTAAGTCTCTAGCAGTCATCTAGTAGCAATGAACCACTTAGCTTTTCCAGAAGCCAGACCGCTGCATCAAATGGAGATGTAAAGGGGATTTCAACCTTTGCATCCTTAAGTCTTTGCAGGTGGTACCAACCTCTGTCATTCCCTCCTTCCCTAAGAATAGGATATTGCTTTCAAGTTACTATTTTTACCATAATAATAATTATGGTAAAATTTTCAGGGTCTCTCCTTGGACTTTCTGAAGACAGTCATTGGTGTTTCATAGGTTAAGAAACAATAGGCTAAAGAACCAGTTTGGTGAACCACTATGTGTGTCCTGATTATACATTTGGGAACTTGGGAAATGACTGCTGGGTGGCTCCGTGGATCAGCTGGACTCACTGTTAGATGGACATTACCTTACCTCCATACACTCTACTCTAACAGGGGCCAAGATGGTGATTTGGGCCCACAGATATCAGCACCAACTCAGATGCTGTACCAACAACACTTAAAAGACCTATTTTCCTTTGTCTGGCATATGGTTACTTGAATAAATGGCCATAGATTCTTTTGGTGAAGAATTCAGAGAATCATTACTGTGTATATCTGCAAAGTTTCTTATGAGACCTGCAATCATTTCTGTCATCAGGTTCTAGGTCCAAAAATTTGCTCAGGCCTGGAAACTGGGCAGAGGATCTTGACATTTTATTCAGTGGCTCACCTTAGCTATCCGATTATCTATTTTAAATTTCTTTTGAAGATATATATGAAATAATATTCTTGTTGGCTGTTCAAGTGTCTTGCTTTAACAAAACCACATCCTATTAGCTATCTCTGTAGGTAAATGTGGGCTCGACACCACCCCCACTCCCGCCCAGTGTCATTCTACCTTGCTGTTTGCAACAGACATCGTTTTATCTAGCTCTGCAAGTTAAAGTCTGTCACCTACTTCTATTATTCTGGAATCTAATCATTTTATTTGCTACTGGGGAATTCTATTCTGTAAAACATTTCTACATTACTGCAGCCCACAGAGGACAGCTCCTGTTGAGAAACTCAAGGATGCTGGTGGCTCCTCAGCAGTGTGTTCCTTATCACCTTGTTTATTTAGTGTCTTTGAGGCCTCCTGAGAACACGGGCACCAGAGGAATGGGTTCTCCAGTTGTAGAGAGTACAGACATGCCATCTTCCTTAGACTTTCAGGTGTACTTTTTCTATAGTCTGCCCTGGCAGGTCTAGTATCTCTATTTGTACTTTATCTCGTGTGCACTGTGGCTTATAGCAAGCCTCTAAGAGCCCCCCAAGAGTATAACAGAATCATCACCTTGATCTCTGGCAGGCTAATTAAACTGTGTGGCACAGGAGAGTGTACCCTTCCTTTTCAGTTTCATATTCCTCCACTTATGATCCAGGTTCTATTTCCAAACACCATCTCCTGACACCTGCTGGCACATTTTGGCCAGTCCTGCAGCTCCATTGAAATAAAAACCTTCTCCTCATCTAACAGCCCCACCTAGGACTTACGCATTGAGTCATCCTGAGAGGACTCTGCATAATCTTATTTCAAGCAAGGAGGCTAGGTAGTAGCCTGTCTTCCAAAAAGGGACAGAGGTCTCTTTTGAAGGCCAGTGGTTTCAGGGGTTTAGAATTCAGAGTTCTCAGATGCATCGACCTAGAAAGCCATGTTCTGAGTTTTAGGGCTTCATGCTTTCTTTATCAGGGCCCAGAAAGTGGCACCAGAAACCATTCTGAGCTTAGAATTCAGTCTGCTCTGAAGTACTGACATTGTTAAAATTAAGGACTGTGCCAGGCCTTTTTTACTGTGTGCCTTCTAGCTGCAGGTAGGAGAGGTTTTTTTCTCTATGTCATGATTAATAAATTCAAACCTGTTATTTACTCTTTTCAACACATCAGTGTAGCTTAGAAATAGCCACCCAAATCCACAGTTCTTATAGTTACTATTTCTTCCTTTGTAAATGTCAGAGAATTGTACCACCTAGTGTCCTCATCCTCTATATCTCATCCAGTTTCCTACAGGTGAAATTTTGGCAATGGCAACGTTATAGCACCCCGGGGACATCAATATTCCACCTGTCACCATCTGGCCGGACAGTGATCCAACTCCAGAACCCCATCCTTAGGGCCTCCTTGCTAGGACCATTATCTTAATTTGGGTTTCCTAAAAGCAGAGCCTGAGATGAAGTCTTTTAAGGAAGTGATTTATTGGGAGAGTTCAATTAGGAGAAATGGGGCAAAGGAAGCAGGATGTGTGGTGGGAAAGCGAAGTAACAACGTGGTGACCACAACCGGAGACTAGTTGCAGCCTGATCCCTGGGAGAACACAGGAGCATGAATCACTCCACACGTTGGTTCTGCCCAAGGGAAGTTGGCCAGCCCCCAAGCCAAAGAGGTGTAACCTCCAGGTGAAGTTGGCTTTATTTGGCCAAAGTAAAAACTTAGGGGCGGAGTTGCATCAGCCGCCAACCCTTACAGCAGCTGGAGGTTGAGAAGGCTGTTCCCAGAGGGGATTCTCCAGTATCAACAGCATTCACTGTACCAGTGAACTGTTCTCATTTGTTTCCTGAATAGCAAACACTTCCTTGAAACTCTTCTCAAATTCTGCCTCCAGTCTAAGTCCCATTAGGCCAAAATCATTGTACTGAAAAAAAAAATGACAAATGTAATGACACTCATCATTAGTGTTTAGACACATTGCAATTGAGAAGGATCGCCTTAAACGCGTAAGCTACATTAATCAGGTTAAGATTAAAAACTCATGGGGCCAAGAGTAACTTCTGCTTTTTAAGTGCACAATTATTTCTTAAAAACTAGACAGAAATGGGAAATCATTACCATACCCAGGGATTTTTACTCATTGGGTTTCGGTTGTTCATTTTAGTGAGAATTAGAAAACTAATCTATGTTCTTTGTAACAATTCAGATAGCACAGAGTTTCCAAGCATAATCAGCAATCTTCCTTTCACGCTGTCACTTCTAGTTCCCTCTGGTGAGCCCTGTTAACTAAATAGGACATTCACAAGCAAAGGAATCTGGAGTTTGGGATTCCTGAGCTGTTTGAGTGAGCATATTAGGGGAGAGAGAAACAGCACAATATGACTTTAGGATGCAATTCTTTTCTCTTTAGGTTTGGAGCAGGGAGGACTCTGCTCTTCTCACTGGGTCCTGTCACTTTTTATGAGGGGAATGAGCTCTCAGGGACCTGGGGTTCTGCTGGCAGGGACACCTCCCGACTCACTGTCACTCTCCATGGTGAGCTTAAAGCCTGAATTTAAAAAGTCACACACGTCCTGAGGGACCCTTGCTTGTATAGGCTTCCCACAGGAGGAGGGAAACGAAAGTTTCCCAGCACCAGGAAATGAAGGCAGAGCGACTCAGCGCAAAGAAAGTAAGAAGGGAGCAAAGAGAGTCGCTTACCTTATAATATGCCCTGTGGTTCTGAAAGATGAGGCGCATGTCCCGCACGAACCCCTCCACCTGGGGGTAACCCTGCTCCTTTAGCCTCCTTTTGATTTTGTCCAGCCACATGGGTTCATTTAGCTTTTGAGAAGCCTCATTAATCTGGCGGGAAAAAAAAGTATCAATGAGAGATTACTAGCATAGTTTATCATCTGACTTCTGTGGATTCCCAGAAAAATCCAGCTAAAATACAAGATAGTTAATGGCGCTCACTCCCACAGGCTCCAGATCGCAAATCCTACCAGTGCCCATGTCGAGGTCAGGAAGCTTCCTGGCGCCCTGTAATCACGGTGTGTTATCGTTACTTACATAATAATAATACGGAATCTTCGCAAAAAACGAGCTCTCTGAATGGCAATAGACTTTCACAAGGAGGAATTCACATGCCTGCAAAAAAAAAAAAAAGAGAGAGAGAGAGAGAGAAAGAAAAGGAGGCTGTGAGTGAAAAGCAACTTGGAGAGAATGAGCCACGTGCAAGCTCAGGCAGACGCATGACCACACCAGACTTTGGGAAATTTCCCCAAACACGTATGGCTCTAGAAAACAGTCACTTATGGCAGAGTCATTTTTTCTGCAAACAAGTTCTGGTGAGATTTCAGCGTGGTTGAGACATGGCTCAGAAAAGCAGTCACCCTGCCCCCCTCACCCTGTGACTGACTTCTCACGTGTGCATGGAAAGGACAAGGCTTGGGGTTCAAATTGGACTCACCAACTGCTCCTCGGGCCCCATCTGCTTCTCCAGGACCTCAGATTCCCTGTTACACTTCTGACTTGCTGTATACGCCTTTATCCTGCAGAAGATGCAACTCCACTGGTCCCTGAGAGGTTGGACATAAGTAAGCAATGGTCAGGCCCCTGGAAACAGCCACCGTTCCTACAGTTGCCACCGTTTTCCTTTCAGGAACTGCTGATGGACAAGCCAGGGGATGAAGGGGACACTTCTCAGAGTCGCCAAGCCCCTCATGTGGGGTCTGAGATGACGACACCCCTCCCAGTGAGGGCAGCAGGAGGGGTGCAGGGGGTGGGAGAGCAGTGTCAGAGTGAGTGGTGGGCTTTCCTTTCCCCATCTCAGCTGCTGGGAGCACAAGGGACCCTGCCCACCAGGCCTGAGTGTTGGAAACGGCCTTAATGCCTGGGCGCCTTGGGCTTCCGTCAACCAGTTGAGAATGAGCTGAAATGAGGGAACTAGACCAGGTTTCCTGCCTTTTGTGAATAAGCATAGAATATAAACCATTGGCATTTCCACCCCTGTGAACAGGGGTCCGTGCTGGAAAATTTCTAGGGAAGGACAGGAGCAGTGTGCAGGCAAAGGAGCCAGCCACCGGCCCCAGCCGCCCGGAGGACAGAGAACACCACGCACCTGCCGCTAGCATCTTTAAACAGCTCTCCAGATCGCACTGCTGGGGCCCTTACCACTGACCCTGCTCTTTCCGCGTCAGGACACAAGTCGGAAGTCTGCTGGGGGAGCGTGCCTGAAGGTGGGGAGGGTCCTTAATAAGGAGGGAGGGGCTGCATCTCACAAACCTCTCAGTTTCCACAGGTGGCAGGTGACAGTCCTCATGAAAGGATCTTGAACAAGTGTCACAACAAAACAGCTTTCCTCCATCATGGCAGACCTCACATACATCTGAGTTTCTCTGCTAGAGGGTAAAACAATGTCCATATCACCTGTGAGAACCTGAAGACCAGCACTATGGGAATCTAGAACTCAAAGCCTTTGTGTGAACCTACATGGACACTTACATACTTCTCCCTGTGCTATTAAGGGACAGCATGGACAGCATATCAGAAAAAGGAACTGTGGGCTGCAATGAAGTTCAGAAGGAGGGATCTGTGTGTCAGACCAGGAAAATTTTCCCTATAAACCCAGTGATGCTGACACAGAAAGACTAGCAGTAGAACAAGAGGGTGATTTCATAAGAATCTGAATAACTTTAGTACGACGCAGATGAAAGAAGTTCCTGAAATAGTGTTAAGTCCATTTGTCTACACCTTAGTGATTAATATATTGGGTGGACAAAGAGGAAAGACATTAATTAACAAATTTTTTGAGTCTTTTTCTGGGCTTTTGGGTGAAAATACTTGTATTGAGTGAACTGGGATTCTGATCATTTCTTTTGTTTTAAAAAAAATAGCCATATATGAGGAAGTGCAAGCCCCAAGGAACATCTTGCCAGGAACTTCCACTCAGGGTCTGGGGGATCTTGAAGCACATCCCCAGTGGGCACCGAGGAGGCTCTAGCATGGAAACCTGGGGCCGTTTTTCTTTTCCTTGCTGCAGAGACTCACAGATTACCATCAGCATTCTCCCCAAAGTGGTGACTTCTCTTCTCAGAAGAACAAGGAAATAACAGATATAACCACATTTATCATATTTTTCACCGACTTATCTTTCAGTTTTTTTGCCCAGCTGCACATTAGAATCATCCAAGAACAGTGTAGAAAATACTAATGTCCAGAGAGTCTGAATCAGTTGGTCTGGTTGGGGCTCAGACATTGGTATTCCTCTTTGAATCATAAAATGGGTAATTTTGTGTATCAAAATCATCTGAGGATTTTTAAACAATCCTATTGTCTAAGTCATATCACAAATTGATTAAACTAGAATTTCCTTAGTTAAGATCAGAGCAGAAATAAACAAAATAGTCTAAAAAACAATTAAAAATAAAAAAAACCTGATTCTTTGAAAATAAAACAAAGTGACAAACCTCTAAGAAGACTTGTCAAGAAAATGAGACCCAAATAAATGAAATCAGAAAGGAAAGAGAAGTGACAACTACACCACAGAAATATTATAAGAAAATACTATGAACAATTATACACCAAGAAATTAGACAATCTGAAAGAAATGGATACATTTCTAGAAACATGCAATCTTCCAAGACTGAATCAAGAAGAAACAGAAAATCTGAAAAGCCTGATTCTTACTAATAAAATCGAATCAGTGATCAAAAAACTTCTAACAAATAAAAGTCCTGGGTGGCTTCACAGGTGAATTTTACCAAACATTCAAAGAAGAATTAACACCTATTCTTCTAAAAAAATTCAAGAGTAGAAAAGACTCCCAAGCTCATTTTATGAGGTCATCATTACCCTGATTCTAAAACCAGACAAAGACATTACAAAAAAAAATTAAATTGTAGGCTGATATCCTTGATGAACATAGCTGCAAAAATCCTCAACAAAATATTAACAAGCTGAATTCAGCAACACATTAAAAAGATCATTCACCATGTTCAAGTGAGATTTATTCCTGGGATGCAAGATTCGTTTAATTAATTAATCTGCAAATTAATTAATGCAATACATCACAAAAACAAAATGACATAAAAATCATGTGATCATATTATAGATGCAGAAAAAGTGTTTGACAAAATCCAGCACTTATTTATGATAAAAACTTACAGCAGTGGGAGTAGAGGAAACATACCTCAATGTAATAAAGGTCATATATGACAAACCCACAGCTAACATCATACTCAGCAGAAAAAGTTATAAGTATTTTACTTAAGATCAGGAACAGGACAAGGATGTCTATTTTTACCACATTTATTGAACACAGTAGTGGAAATCCTAGCCACATCAATCAGACAAGAAAAAGAAATAGAGCACTTGAATTGGAAAAGAAGAAATAAAACTGTCATTATTTGCAGATGACATGATATTATATGTAGAGTACCCCAAAGATTCCACAGAAAACTATTAGACCTAAAAAGTGAATTCAGTAAGGTAGCAGTATACAAAATTAATATTCAGAAATTGGTTGCATTTTTATATACCAATAATGAACTATCAGAAATAGAAATTAAGAAAACAATCCCATTTACAATTGCATAAAAAAAAAAAATATCCAGGAATGAATTTAACCAAGGCGGTAAAAGACCTGTACTAGGAAAATTATAAAACATTGAAGAAAAATTGAAGAAGATACAAATAAATGGAAACATATACCATGCTCATGGATAGGAAGAATTAATGTTGTTAAAATATCCATACTACCCAAACAATCTATAAATTCAATGCAATCTTTATCAAAATACCAGTGGCATTTTTCACAGAACTAGAATGAATAATCCTAAAATTTATATGGAACCACAAAATACCCCAAGTAGCCACAGCAATCTTGAGAAAAGAACAAAGTTGGAGGCATCATGGTACTTGATCTTAAACTGTACTACAAGGCTATAGTAATCAAAACAGCATGGTACTGACATAAAAACAGACGCATAGATCAATAGAACAAAATAGAGAGCCTGGAAATAAACCCATGCCTATATGGTCAACTAACCTATGAAAATGGAGGCAAGAATATACAATGTGGTAAAGACAGCCTGTTCAATAAATGGTGCTGGGAAAACTGGACAGATACACCTAAAAAATGTCTGCAAATCAATTAATGACCACTGTCTTATACCATGTACAAAAATAAACTCAAAATGGATTAAAAACTTAAATGGAAGATCTGAAACCATAAAACTCCTACAAGAAAACATAGGCAGTAAACTCTCTGACATGACTCTCTGCTATGTCTCCTCAGGAAAGAAAAACAAAAGAAAAGAAAAAGTAAACAAATGAGACAACATCGATCTAAAAAGTTTTTGTACAGCAAAGGAAACCATTAACAAAATGAAAAGATAACCTACTGAATGGGAGAAGATATTCGCCAATAACACATCCTACAAGAAGTTAATATATAACGTTTATAAGAAACTAACACAATTCAACACCAAAAGCAAACAGTCCAATTGAAAAATGGGCAGAGGATCTGAATAGATATTTTTTTAAAGAGGACATACAGATGGCCAGCAGACTTATGAAAAGATGCTCAAAGTCACTAATCATCAGAGAAATGCAAATTAAAACCACAGAGAAATATTACCTCACACCCTTCAGAATGGCTATCATCAATAAATCAAAAAACAACAAGTAGGGTGAGAATGTGAAGAAAAGGGACCACTTGTACCTTCTTGGTGGAATCACGAATTGATGCAGCCACCATGGAAAACAGTATGAAGGTTCCTCAAAAAATTAAAAATAGAATGACCTTATGGCTCATCAATTCTCTTTCTGGGTATTCATCTGAAGAAATCTTAACCACTACTTAGAAAAGATATATGCACCACTGTGTTCACTGCAGTGTTATTTACAATAGCCAAGACGTGAAAACAACCTAAGTGCCCATCAATAGACAAATGGATAAGGAGGTGGAATATTATTGTGGCATAAAAAAAATGGAATCTTATCATTTGCGACAACATGGATGAACATAGACGGTATTATACTAAGTGAAATAAGTCAGATAAAGATAAATATCATATGAGCTCACTTATATGTGGAATCTAAAGAACAAAATAAAAGGGCAAACAAAACCGAAACAAACTCAGATACAGAGAACAAACTGATGTTTGCCAGCTAGGAGGGGGATTTGGGGACTGGGTGAAAAAGGTGAAGGAATTAAGGAATACAAATCTATAGTTACAGAATAGTCACAGGGATGTAAAATACAACATAGGGTATGTAGTCAATAATATTATAACTATCTATAGTGCCAGGCAGGGACTAGACTAATAGACAGGATCACTTCGTAAATTACAGAAATGTCTAATCATTATATTGTATACCTGAAAGTAATATAAACTAACATAAATGTCAAAAAATTCCTCTATTGGGGAATCCAGGCTGTGGCACTTTTCATAGGTCTTCAGTCTACAGCCTAAGTTGAGATTTAGCCTGAGTACAATTTGGTTATTAAGGCAGGAGGATATTACAAGTCAATGTTGAATTGACTATAATATCCGTCCCAGGAAAAAGATGAAGATACTCTTACTGGAACAATTACCCTATCCTCCTTTAGCTGTGGGCTGTGTGACCTGGTCTTTTGTGTCCACATCCATCCCGAATAAGCCACAAGTAAGTCACACTGAACTCCAGGCTATTCAGATGATTGAAGACTCCCTCAGCTAGCTGAGGGTCAAAATCAGGACAAGATCCATGTCTTGCTGGGGGATTGCCTTGAAGGAAAAGTATATGTAAAACTGTTTGACTACCCTCCTCTGTTGGACGTCATATATCAGTGTTACTGCATGATATACTATGGAGTTCAGCCCCCCGGAGTTGTGAAAAGGTGACTGCTTAAAATACCCATCCTGTTGCAAAAAAATGGAAGTATGATTTAGCATAGAAAGTGAAGTTATCTATAATTTTGACAGACCTTACAGCAGGAAGCCATATGGTATCAGTTACAATAAAAAGCCCCTGATTTGCTAAGTCGTGATGATTTCAGTTCTAACCAGCTCAGCACCCTGATGGCTCTCTCGAGATTGAGTGCAGGGCCTCTGTATAGGACCCACTTGCCCTGACTACATTTCTCTGCAGCACTCATGACAGGGTCTACACCTGTAACTCGCCAGCTTGGCCAAACCCGTTCCTTCTGGCTGAAGCATAAAACCACCTTAGCTCTGCTTGCACCTCAGAGGGGATGTTCAGGATTTTCCTTTCCTTCCCTACTACCTCCTTTGATATGCTGCTCTCCTCTCAGATGTGCCCCTCGCCCCTAATCTGCAGGCCAGCCCTGCCCATTACCATCTCGAGCCCCATCTCTAGACACCCCAGTGGTGGAAATGAGAAGTTTCCACTGAACAAATGGAAAGGATGCTTTCAGGCTGAGACACCCAATCCCAGCACCATCTACCTGGCATGGATGACATCTGCGGTTCTCTGCTCATCACACACAGCAACATGCTCCAACTGAGTGCGAACACGCTTCAGGGAAAAACGACAATGACACAGATAATGTACCGAAGGAAAAGGCCTAGGTAATTCTGGGGCTACAGATGGGAGCTGGTACTTACACATAGGTCAATGGAAGTGTTGTCATGAGAGTTTGGTAGTCTCTGCTGAAAGGAGAGAAAGATTGAGTGACAATATTGAATGTGATGTTTGCATCTATCACTTATTTAAACAGCCGCCTCTTGAGAAATTCAATTCACAGTCTATCCTTTATTTCATGGACCTATATATCTACGAGGAGAGTTAAAAGTGCCAAAGTACCACTGTTTGGCCCAATGTAGTCCCATTCCCTGGCTCTCAAACCCAAGGTGGGCTGGGAGTCTGGCCCTGATTTCCACAGATGGTGTTGGAGAAACCCCTCCGGTTCTCCAATTTCAAGGGGGCCCTCGGTCACTCTTCTCTATATTAGGAAGTGTCATCCCGCTGGACGAGCTGCAATGAGAGTATCAACCGGACGCATCACCAGCAGCTCCCAGAGACCACAAATTTCCATACAATTAGAAAATAGTAACTTTTATGAGAAAAAAACGTATCCGTGAGGCCTATTTTGATGACTCCTTCATCATCTGCATCTCAAATGATTTACCATCCAAGAACGACTTTGCCTTATATACAATGGAATGTTTGCAGTACCAACTCTGAAGGCACGTGCCCCTCCAAAACAAGAGTTGGTGAGAGCTTATCATTACCCGATCGAGAAACCATAAAATAACATACAGTGCATGAAAAACCAGTTATATCAGAAGATGTAGAAAGCTATATCATCATTACCTGTTTTCTCCTGCCATATATTCTTGGAGGATTAGGTAGATATCCTTCCTGAATAATAAAAAGATCCAAGTATATGGTTAGCCTATATTGACGTTTTGTGAGATTGATATTTCTACCTCACTTCCAAATATTTCTACTTTGATGTCTTTCTCTGAGGCGTCTTCTTCCTACTTGCTTGACTCGACTGTCTTTCTCCTTTCAGGGCATAACATTGCCTGCCAGCACCTGAGTCAGAATGACTTTTCTCTCCTCAAAGCTCCTGCATCTAACCTGATGGAGCCCTTTACTACACTGAGGTGCTGCCTTGTACTGAGGTATGAGTGTGGGGTACCTCTCCCTACTGAGAGGATGAAGTCAGGGCTCATCAGGGCTTCAGTTTGTAACATAAAATATTTGGTTAGCAAAGAGTGAACTTATCTTAGAGTACAAGGAAAGTCACATCTCCTGGCCCCATGACTGAAATACCTACCTCCATCAGCCATTTTAGGGGCTTCCCACCGCAGCGCACACTCATTTTCCAGGATTTTGATCTTTCATGGCCTCCTTTGATTTCAAATTCCTTGGGGGTGAACCAATTTCCATCCTTTCCCCTTATACACTTCTTGATGGATCCTGTAAGACCAGGGTAAAGTGATTCTGGGCCCTCTGTCCTCAGAACCTAGACAGTGGTTTCTCACCACATTGGATCAGAAGACACCCAATTTGGACTCAAGGCCACTAGCAGGAGAGTCTAGCCTCCCCTTTCAGACTTCAGAATCCCCAAACCAACCTTGAAACTCCCCTACAAGGGGATTACCTGCTTTGTATGCATATTTTGTTGACCTTTGTGCAACTAAAAAGAGATAATTATCATCAAAATCAACCTGATGAAAGTATTCCAAAATCACCTACAAAGTAAAGGCAGGTGATTTTGAAGGATGATAGAATTTCAATTTGCTGCGGATAGAGAACCGGTGAGACTCTCCAACGGCCCTGGGACAATGTAGAGGCAGAACTTTAAGGTGAACTGAGATCTCAGGTAAGGGCCCTCCTGCTCACAATGGCACCACAGCAACATCTGTGTCCTTTATTAAAGCATTTTTCATCCAGTTTAATGGAAATATTGAGCAGAGAGTTTTCTACCCTTGAATTCATGGACAGCCAATATTAAAAACAAATGTGAAATGTTATCCACTGTAAAATTTAAGTAATACATAAAAGATAATCATATTCTAGACATTATTAGTCATTAAAAAATGCAAATCAAAACCACAATGAGAGACCATTTCACACCCATTAGGATGGCCATAATTAAAAACATAAAATGAAAACAAGTGTTGTCAGGAGAGAGAGAAATTGGAACCCTCAGATATTGCTGGTGGGAATACAAAATGCTGCAGCCACTTTGTAAAAATATTTTTGAAAATTTTTATTCCAAATAATATACTTTGGGGAAAATATTTTGGTGTTTCCTCAATAAGTTAAACATAAAACTACCATATGAACGAGCAATTTCATTCCTGTGCACATACCCAAAAGTATTGAAAACATGTGTTCACACAAAAACTTACACACTAATGTTCAAAACGACATATTCATAACCCCAAAGAGTGGAAATAACCCAAACGGATAAATAGATAAAAAATAGGGTATAGTTATACCATGGAATGTATTACATGACAATAAAAAAGAATGAGATACTAATACATTCTACTAATGTATGAACTGTGAAAACATGCTACGTGACAAAGCCAGTCATTATAAGGCACCTATGATGATTCTGCTTTCATGAAACACCTAAAATAGGTCAATTTTCAGAGCGGAAAATAGATTAGTGGTTATTTAGGGATGGGGGTGGGGTGAGGTGGGAATGAGCACTGACTACTAACAGACACAGGGGACGAGAATGTTCTAAAATTAGATTGTAAATTCACAATCCTGTGAATATGCAAACAAAACTCCACACTGAATCCTACACTCTAAGCAGTGAATTATATGACAGGTAAATTATATCTCAGGAAAACAATTTACATTTTATATATCACTTATGTAAATTAATTCCTTACGGCTACATCATGAGGCAGATTTAAATTATTTTCTCTTTTTTAGATGGGAAATTTCAGGCTCGGAAAGGTCCCCTTCTTTAGTCATATGAATCAGTCACTCTTGGCGTAGCCGAGGTTGGGACTCAGGTTTTCTGATTATAAATTCCGCGACCCAGAAGAGAGAATATGAAAGTGGAGGCTGAGAGCCTCTTCCGTTTTAGTTCTAATTCACTTCTCTTTAGTTCTTCAGATATTTCCATGGGCACTTGCATATGGTAATGAGTGCCTACTGTGTTTGATTTCTTAAAGTGTGAAAGTATCATCTTAGGGATCCCTTCCTCCTTTTCTCAAGCCAAAATGTGGCCCCAATTTCTTGAATGATATGTAATTCATATGGGTAATTCCATTTCTTCTTGAGATTTCTTCCCATAGAGTTGCTAAATTAGACCATGAGACCCACCTTTTTTCAATTTGTTTTTATATAACATCCCCTTCAATGCACCACAGGTCACAGGAAGTATTTCAGCGTGAAAATCCACACTTTCATCTCTGTGCTTTCTTGACCCTGAAAGAGAAGGTTTCTTTATTCTGTTTCAGTTTGCAATTGCACATGTACTTCTCCTCCCATGGAGAGGTCACTCCTATAAAGATATAGGGGTACTTAGAAAACTTTATTCCACAAATCTCTAGAATTGGTTTTTCCCCCAAGTGGTATTATTGATACATAACTAGAGTGTCTACTTCTACCCTCAAATCTCACACAAAACAGAATGCTTTAGCAGAAAAATCAGGTTCTATACAACTGTCTTAACTCTCAATGTAGTCAGCTCCACTGATTCGTACATGACAATGAAACAGTTGCTCTGTGTTCTAAAGGGAGCTCTCCACCTGCTAGTCCACTGCAGTTAGGTAGTCGGGGACAAAGTGAGAGAACATACTTGTATCTTCCTATTTGAGCTCTAACTATGAGCAGAGAAAAGGGGATGGTGGGGTGACCTAGTGGAAATGGTGTCTGCCTGCTATTTGTGTTCTCTCTTTTGCTTCTTTTCTCCCTCACATGAGCTTTCTCCATTACATTAGCTGTACTAAGATCTCAGAAAACTCTAGAATAATCTGAAAATTGCATGGGGAGGAGAGCAACTGGAGACCTGATTTCACAGGTGCAGGGGTGAAAGATCTTCGAATTAACTAACTCAAGGAGGATGTGTAGCTGATGCTGTCCATTCAGCAAGCACATTAGATCATGATGGGAAGAGTGGAGCTGTCTGTGGTTCTGATATCAGTTTTGCGACAGGCAGCCTTTCGAACTGGAATGAAGTGAGAAGGATGGTTGGTTTAATTCATTCTCTTGCCTTACAGATGAAGAAACTGAGGCAAAAGTGGTCAAGTGACTGGCCCAAGCCCACAGGAAAAAGAGAAAGACAGACTTCTGACCACCACTTTGGGCTACTGGAAACTGCAATTCTAAATATTGATCCAAACATCCAATGAGCCTTAAAATGTCAAAAAAAGATTTTTTAATGTTGCAATAAATATCAAAGAATTTATGAAAACTTAGCAAGAGATGGGGTGGAAAAGATGATCCAAAAACATAAACCAAATTAGTACTTCCAAATATTTCGAGCAATGAAGATAATGACTTTATTCTAATGAAAAAGAAAAGATTGATTGTTTTAGACACTCACAGTGAATAAAATTTACTTTGTTTTTTTTTTATTTTTCATTAGCATTTTTTAAAAATATGTGAAATAAATATTTCTATGACTTATATTGACCTATTTCTTTAGTATTTTTTTCCATACTGGTGGACTCTTTTTATGTGGTTTTCTTCTGCCTAAAAAAAAAAGACATGTGGAATGAATAATCCACATAAATCGAGAGATGGATGTATATACTCAGAAAGTTCTGCTTCCCACCCATCTACAGAATTTTGCTACGCTTTTTGCCACTATTTAATAAGAATCCCTTTTCCTCTAGTTTCCAAAAACATGTTTCTTAGTTCCTCCTTAGTTCTCACCTTCAACCTCTACATTTCTACTAACATCTGTTCAGCATGATTTAAGAAGTCTCTAAGACAATTTAGTTTCTGCCTCCCATGTTCTTTACCTCCTCCTGAGCCCTCACTAGCAGTCTTTGCACCAGATTTCTAACTGTTTGAGGCCATGCAGACATTTCCTATCATTCTGCTTAAAATTCTTCCCACTGCCCAATTTCCCTTGGCTTACTGCCCAATACCTAAGCCACTTCCATATTTATAGGAATGTTTTATAGCCATACCCCACTTCCAATAACCAAAATCTGCATTATTTCTATTGCTGCCATAACAAATGACCACAAATTTAATGGCTTGAAACAATGCAAACTTATTATCTTATAGTTATGTTGGTTACAAGCCTGAAAAGCGTCTCTCTGGGCTAAGGTGAAGGTTTCAGGAGGCCTTCATTCCTTTCTGGAGGCTATGGAGGAGAATTTAGTTCCTTGACTTTCCATAAGATACTCATATGCTTTTTTCTTCTATCTTTAAAGCAAAACTATTTTATCTCTCACTGAGTATTATCCATTGTCACATCTCCCTCTCTACAGCCAGAAACGACTGTTCAATGTTTAAGGCCCATTTGATTAAATCGGTTGCATGCAGCTATCCAGGATAATCTCCCCTTTCAAGGTACCTACCTCAACTGTATTTGTAAAATCCATTTTGTCATGGAAGATAACACCTTACAGGTTCCAGAGATTAGGATGCAGACATCTTTCATATTATTGAAAAGATGGCATTAAAATAACTACTTTAACATCAAAAGCAAGTAAAATCTTATGCACCTTACCTCTTTTCCTCCTGAGTGTCCCCGAACTAGAGTTGTTTCCAAGGTCCACAGTTTCTAGAAAATAACAAGTGGTGGTGAAAAAACAAAAATAAATGAATAAAAGTTACAAATTCTGGGATGATTCATACTACGGAAAGCTTGAGTTTTGAAAGATGTTTAGATGATCATTTCTATCTTTCTTCTAAAGGAAATAAAAACCTACTGAATTGAGAATTAGGAGTACAGAACCTTATTCATGGTGGCCAAGACATGAAAACAACTGAGTGTCCTTAGATAGATGATTGGATAAAGAAGATATGGTCCATATATATAATGGAATATTATTCAGACATAAGAAAAGATGAAATACTGCCATTTGTGACAACATGGATGGATCTTGAGATTGTCATGTTAAGCAAAATAAGTCAGACAGAAAGAATCGAGGACCATATGATTTCACTTATATGTGGAATATAAAACCAAAAGCAACAAATATGCTGTGAGCATATTTCAAAGACAGTTTCAGGAAAATCACTGCTGCCGACACAGGCTTGGGAGGATTGTGGGGATCTGTAAGCCAGTTGTAGACAACACCAGCTCTTGCTGTGATCGGTGACTCTTGTGAGAATGTGCGGGCAGACATAGAAGTTGCAGTAAGACTGAGGCTGTTTGGCCTGATGGCCATTGTCTCCCTGATACCCCACCCCACCCGATCCACAGATTGCTTATGGTGGCCCGTTGATAGGCAACCGCTCCAGCCATGCCCCATTCCATGGCCCCACATTCCACACAGGCAACACACTGGCTAGCACAGTGCATGCACTGCAGGGAAATCAGTTGCAGGCAGACCACTGCTAACTGTGAGAACTACGATATCACTTGGAGGAATCACAGGGGTCTGCGGGATCAACCCAGATGGCAGCTGGTCTCACTGTGATCTGTGACTACCACGGGCTTCTATGGGCACTGAAGTTGCAGCAGAACTGAGGCTGTATTCACCTGATGGCCTTTGTCTCCCTGAGATCCCACTTCACTCAATGAACTTAGGGGGAGAATGGATATGCTCAATGAGCACCTCAACAGAGAGACAGTAAGCATAAAAAAGGACATGGAAACCATAAAAAATATCCAGACAGAAATGAAGAAGACATTAAATGGAATGAAGAATACACTAGAAGGATTCAAAAGTAGATTGGATGAAGGAGAAGATCAAATCAGTGAACCGGAAGATAAGATAGCAGAAAACATCCAATAGGCAAAGCAAAAAGAAAAAAGACTTTAAAAAATGAGGATAGTTTAAGAGATCTCTGGAATGCCATTGTTAAGAGTGTATTTCTTCTACATCATTCATACATAATCAATAGGGCCCATCCTATCAATGTGATTTTATAATGATTCTTGCTTCCCTGCTGTTACCAAAAGGGTCATGTCAAGCAAATGCAGAGGACAGGGAATTAGGATGAACTAGACCACCTGCCACAACTCTACCTGAGGTCTGTAGATCCACTCTCATCCCGTGATCTTCGGGCAGCCTTACCTGTTGTGTCACATTCTCGGCTACCTTTAGTCCTTGCTTTCGGACCTACAGGTACACCTTTTGAGGAACCCATAACACAGGAATACTTTTCATTTGCACGTGCTGGTAGCTCTGCTCCTAGGCCAAAATCACAATTTATGAAAACTTTTTTCATTTGTCCAAATAATTCACTTTTCTGTATACTTGTTGATTTCCATTTTTCTACTTTTCCTCTGAAATATTCCATTGATATTCCATAAAGCGGATTCTTCCTTTAAGTTTCTCCTTTTTCCTCTCTTGTATTTTTCTATTTATGAAAACTTAGTTTCTATTTTTATAATTTTTCAGTCATAATTACCTTGTCCGTCACAGGGTATATAGGCTTGAGGTAAGCTCTTCTGATTCTCCTTCTCTATGCCTTTGGAGAGCTGCTAGTTCACCAGATACTAAAAAGAAACCTGAAAACTACTGTCCATTGATCCTGAGACAGTGAATGGGAAGAGTTCCTGGGGCTCTCATGCTGCACTTCTATACTCTGAGCTACGATGAACTGCTTCCTCAGAAAAATATATCTGCTCTAATAACTGCACCTGAAGTGCTACAGAGCCATCTTTTCCCATTTTGTACCTCATTCTGTGTCCTCTACTTTTATTGTTCTAATTGTAGCCCTAAGAATAAAATAAAAAGATCATATTCTTCTAGGATCAAACTATATGTTCTTTGAAAATTGTAACAAGTAACTACCAGTATCACTATTAAATGCATTCCAATTGGCCAGCGACTACTTACATCACTAATTACATTTAAACAAATGATTAATGGCAGTTTTATACTTCTGAAAATCAACCAATCAGCACAGCCACACTCCAGAAAGCCTGTGTTCATGGTTGAATGCTAATCTACTCATAATCACTTCTGTTTCTGAAAGTTGCAGTGACTGAACCACTTGCTTCCCAAAACTCTATATAAAATTAGTAGTTTCCATTTTTAAAGAAATCATGTCCAACAAATATAGTGCCCCATTCCACCATGTGCCTTGCTAAGCAAGCAATAAAAATCTCTTTTAGTTTCAGCTATTGTATGATGGGCTATCCCTTCAAAATGGAGTGCCCACCAAAATCGTCTTGAAGACTCTTGTGTAGAAGTGTCCTGTGGGATCCTTGGATCAACAGGTATAAATCCCTAACCAATTGTTCCCAACTCAGATTGTCTTCCTGATCCACTGCCAACTAATTGAATCTGAACAGCAACTTGAGATATGATGTGTTTCTTGAACTTTTATACTTGAATTTATCTGATTATTTAAAAATGTGTATGCAGTTAGATACAAAGCAGATAGACACTTGGTTTGGAGGTACAGCATTTAGCAAATATTCTGTTAATGTGTTTATTCTTTTACTACTTCATTTACTCTCATTCTCTTTTGTCTATTTTTTAAAAGTCTTGTCTCAGGTGTGTTTGTTCCTGATTGTTCTGTGCTTCTTGAATGTTAGAAGAAATTTTTCCATGTGAGGCCAAAAGAAAGTGAAGAAACACTGGATTCAATCTCAAACACCTTCACTATACACTTAGACAAGAAAGCAAGTTAACGGTAAAGGATCTTAGGTTTCAGAATACTCTCTCCTTTTAGGAAAGATGACTTTAAAACTACATGCAAGATTTCATTATAGTTTGGAAAGTAGTGGTTTGGAATGCACATACTTACACATAGACTAAATGAAAATGTTATGATTAAACCCCAATATTTGGTATTTTGAAAATAACTATTCTTCAAATGGATGCAACCACTTTTTTTCTTTCCAAACAAAATTGTACGCATTCGCCAAAAGCATAGCCATGTAAATTGGTAAGAACATAAGATATGTAAGTTGTTGAAAATTAATTTTTAATTGGACTTTAAAATCATATTGTATAGATCTACTAATTAAAAATTGGTGATCTTGCAGAAAGTGAGGTCTTGCCCTCGTTGTCTAGGGGAAAGGATGTCCTTCAACAACTACTAAAGTAAACAAGATTTCAGGGAGCTGAATAGAAGTAATGTATACATATACATTATTGACAAGTTAGAGAATAAAAATTGCATGAAACATCACCATCTGAAAATAGCCACTATTAAATTATTCAAAAATATCCTCTTGGACACTTTCTGTGCATATGTTACTATTAAAATAACATATTTCATTATAATAGATGAACATATACCTTTGAAAAACAAATCAAAATATAAACAACACCTATATTTCAATGAACAAATGTAACCACTGCATATATTTTCATGGATGAAATGCCATTGATTTTTCTATATATCTATGTCTATGTCTTATATATATACAGATTGGTAAATATGTATAACTAGGCATTTATGCATATATAAAAACATATTTGCACAAATATATATGTGTATACACATGTTATTACCACATGTGCGTGCGCACGCACACACACACACACACACACACACAAACATATACATACAGTCTGCTTTCTTCATTTAGCCTTCCTTGGAACATCTTTCCAAATTAATAAAAATTTTTTGACCCAGGAAAGAACCCACCTACTGAGGATAGCAGTGCTTCCCCGTAAGCCCGTGTCATTGAGCTCAGGATGATAACATACATGAGAAATAGACCATTTTGTTGAAGCCACTGCATTATTATATTGGGCTTCTTTGTTATGGTGTCTCAGCCTATATCCTACCTGACACAGTAGCTGAAAAACTATCATGGCTCTCGGGGGACTGCAGGCCACAAGGACATGACAAGCAGTGCCTTGACAAACTCAAAAGGTGTGATGACTTCACTTTGCCAGCTTACCTTTTTGATGTACGTTTCTCTGCCGTCTTTTTTTATTCCTTGACCAGGAATACCCCCTTTTTTTTACTGCCAAGATAAAAGAGAGAGGGAGAGGGAGAGGGAGAAGGAGAGGGAGAGGGAGAGAGAATAAATTTAATCATTCAGAGCTATGAATATAATTCTCAAAGCCTCACAGGTCAGTCATGCTCAAGTATTGTTTTCAGAGTTTGGTCCACTAAAATGGGGCAAATTCTGAACTACCAGTGTAGCAGAGTAAAGTTGAATAAAAGATGACCTTCATTTGAAATCTTTTTTTAAAAATTAGAAACTAAAGTCCTGCTGATGCTTTAGGCTGAATGATCATTGTGGTTATGTAGCAATATGTTTCCTTTTCAAGTGTTTTCATGTTAATTCAAATGTGCGATGAGGAGGCATCTTTCTTATAGCTGAATCATGCTATGGAATAATATACTGTGCTAGAATTCAGGAGACACTTTTTTCTTGATGCAGGGAGTTTGTGTTAATTTTTCTACTCTTGTAGTTGTTACAAATCCTCTCATTCATATTTAATCTGGCATCTGATGTTCCTGGAGGAGTTAAAGAACCACAGTGGGTTTTTGTGTTGATATTACTTTCTTGTGAATGATATGAAAACTCATGTGAGTTTGAGAAGAACCATTGGCACTAGGTAGATAGAGAGATCTTATCTTGTTATTGTTGTGAATATCGTAACGACCAGCTCTTCAATTTTTACTGCTGAAAGTGAAGCCTCAATCCACGGACGCAAGCCTGTGACTCTCCCACCTGAGATTCCTATTTTGAAGTGGGTCAACTCAATTCACAAGGCAGGAAGGGCCTGAAAGCCTTGCTCTTCAAATGAAAATGGTGTGTTTAAGAATGTAGGGACTTTGACCCAATGGCACCTAGGCTTTCTATTCCCCTTCAGAGCCTGAAGGAAACTGCGGCCTCCCAGGGGCGCTAACACATGGCTAAGCTGACAGTTGATGTCCCCTGGGTTGCTGTGGCTATTTATCCTCAGGGCCAGTTTTTCAGAGCTGAAAGTGACGTGTTCACTCCTCTGGCTGGCAGAAGTCAAAATACTAGGCTTCTGCACATGGCCTAGATGCTTGGTCTGCCACGTGGAAAACTACAGACTGACAGAGTAAAGACACTTATTGCTGGGTCTTAAATGTGGAAACACACTGTGGAGCTATCGACCCATGTACCAATTACCCATGTACCTGGTCTCTGCTGACGGAGCCTGACACCATGATTCTGATGCAGAGGCTGGGGCTGTGTGCCAGGCTCATGACTCCTGCTAGAAGCAGAAGCATTACTTGCACACTCAGGGAGTCTCATCACAAGGGACTTTTTCCTGCCTGCTCTTGCTACATTGATCAGGCCTCGAGCCCGTCTTGTGGTAATGGGTGTGCCTCAACACAGTCCACACTTCAGCTTATAGACCTACTGATCTGGCCACACCACTGTGACCCTAAAAACTCACATAGTCATGAGCTTGGCTGGCTGGACCTTTTTCAGTCTCACAATGGAATGTCCTTTATCAAAAGCTACTCCCAGTGTACTGTTTGTCTGATTCAGCATCCCACATATCTTTCTGTACCCAAATCTCCAAGAGACTCTTTAGTCACTAAAGCAGCTGTCCACAGAAAGGAATGAGTTCCTACCTGCATCATGATCAGGACGAAAGAGGCAAGGGATAATTAGACTAGTTATATAGACCAATCCTGAAAATTTAAGACCCTGTTTTAACCATCCCTAAGGATGATACATCATCGTTTCCCTGACCGGTATGAAGGAGACAGTCACAGAGTGCCTAGGGGATTAATTATTAATAATTATTAATTATAAAGTCTGATTATATTTTCTAAAAATGTCTTTGCCTGCTTATAGCTGACCTTTCTGGATGAAAAGTCTAAGTGAAGATAAAAAATGCTGGGGAAAGGAAAATGAAGTCACAGCCTCTGGAGTGGTATCCACAGATTTTGTGGCAGTGGAGGAAGAGCAAAAATCCAGGCATCTGAGGAGGGAACATCATACAGCTTAGGACGCAGGAAGAATGGAGTAGCATTAATGATATCTGCCTTTCGCAACTGCCCTGGTTGTTCTTCCAGAAGAAATACTAGGTACAGTATTCAAGAACGCTACTTATACCATGGAGATGCAGAATCCGCCATTCTTCAGCAGACACGAGAAAATGGGCTGACCCTAAATTCCGTAGGTCCCATGCAGAACCCCTCTGGACATCAAAGACCAGACACAGTTAGCGGAACTGGGAACTCTAAAGCTTATAGCTGGCGAGAGACCCATGTTGGAGTCTACCTTCCCCTTGGCTGATGTACGTCCCATTAGGCGACCTCAACAACTGTAAATGCTTCTCTTCCAGGGTCACCCTATGTGCCTTTCAGACTGTATTTAAGTGAAAGCCAGGCTTTCACTTGCCTGCTCAGGAAAATGTGGTGAATTGCAGGTTAGGGCTGGTCATGAAGGACTTAAAGATTCCATGCTTCACGAAGTTCGTTAACTGTTATAGGAAACAAATCAAATAGATTAATCTGAGTGGCTGGTGGAGAGGCCTTCTCATGGGGACATTGCCAGAATCTGCTGTGTGAGGCGAATGTGTTGGAAGGCCAATCTCCCTGGTATTTCCACAAGCCTCAGAGCATCTTTTCAAGGATACCTGAGTAGCAGAAAGCCTTGGAAGCTGGAGATAATGTAGCCCTTCAAGGTCAGAGGGCAGATTAGAGTCTGACCAGAATAAAATAGAGAACGTCTCCCTCCTCAGAAACATGCTGGGATAGTAAAGACTCTCTTCTTTCCTCAGAGGAGATTTACTAAGTTCCAGCTCATAGGATATCTCCCAAGGTGTAAGGTTTGAGCAGGCTTACTAATAGCCCCCTTCTAAGACTGGGGGTTTTTGACAGGTAGAAAGAGTTTCTAAACATCACGGTCCTCACCTTGGCATGATCAGTGCTGTCCAATTTTTAAGGCCTGTTCAATTACATTGGTTGCACACAGCTATCCAGGATAATCTCCCCTTTCAAGGTACCTACCTCAACTGTATTTGTAAAATCCATTTTGTCATGGAAGATAACACCTTACAGGTTCCAGAGATTAGGATGCAGACATCTTTCATATTATTGAAAAGATGGCATTAAAATAACTACTCGAACATCAAAAGCAAGTAAAATCTTATGCAATCTTGCCTCTTTTCTTCCTGAGTTTTCCCAAAATAGAGTTGCTTCCAAGGTCCACGGTTTCTAGAAAATAACAGGTGATGGTGAAAAAATGAAAATAAATTAATTAAAGTTACAGAATCTGGGATGATTCATACTATGGAGGCTTGAGTTTATAAAGATATTTGGATTATCATTTCTCTCTCTACTAAAGGAGCTAAAAACCTACTGAAAAGTAGGAGTCAGAATGGGCCCCAGGACTTTGTTATTTCTCAAAGGAGCTTCGAAAAACACTCTTAAACACCTATATTTTCAGTATAGTCATGGATAGGAATAGGTATCCCATCATGGTCACGGTTAGGAATTTTTGTGAGAATTAAATAAGATCTTACATGGAAAAGTTTGTAGGAAAACACAATATGAATTAATGATAGGCTGCAGGACATTCATCAAAAATATACGCTAGGTTAAGAGTAGTTGATCTAAAATTTTTCATCTAGTAAATTAAGTGGAAGGATCACTTGTCTCTTGAGGCCTTTCTAAGGTTGTGACAAAATGACGCTGTGATCTACGAGCAGATCAACTATAATCAACAGGGTCCATCCTTTAACTCTGAGGTTTTAATAATATCTTGACCCCCTGCTAGTCCAAAATGGTCAGGTGGAGTACATGCAGAGAACAGGATAATAAGATGGACTGGACCACGTGCCACAACCACACCGGGGGTCTGTGGTACCAGTGAATCCATGCTCATCCCCTGACCCTCACACAGCCTTAGCTGTTGTGTCACATGCTCGACTACTTTCAGTCCTTGCTTCAGTACATTCTGGAATGTCTTTAGAGAAGCTCATAACATTGGAATCGTTCTCATTCCCACCTACTGGTCGCTCTGTTCCTGGAATAAAATTGTAGTTTATGAAGGCATTTTATTTGCCCCAATGATCCTCTTTTCTATAATTTTGTGAATCCCCATTTTCACTTCTTCCTCTAAAATCTTTTATTTGATCCTCCCTATATCTTTCCCTTTAAGTTTCCCTTTTTTCTTCTCTTGTCTTTTTCTCTTTATGAGAACTTGGTTTCTGTTTTTATAATTTTTGAGTCATAATTACCTTGTCCATCACAGGGTAGAGGGCTAGAGGGAAGCTCTTCTGATTCTCCTTCTCTATCCCTTTGGAGAGCTTCTATTCCAACAGACACTAAAGAGAAACAAGAAAATTACTGTCCATGGATCCTGAGACAGTGAAGGGGAAGAGTTCCTGGGGCTCTAATGCTACACATCTATACTCTGAGCTAAGATGAACTGTTTCCTCGGAAAAATATACCTGCTTCAATAATCAACCTGAGGTCCTACAGAGCCATGCTTTCCCCATCTTTTGCACCTCATTCTGCTTCCTCTATTTCTACTTTTCTACTTGCAGCCCACAGAATAAAATAAAAAGATCTTACTCTTCTAGGATCAAAGTGCTTGTTCCTTGAAAATTACAAGTAACTACCAGGATCACTTTTAAACTCATCTCAGTTGGCCAATGAATACTTACATCATTAACCACATTTAAACAAGCCAATCAATGGCAGCCTTACACTTCTGAAAATCAGACAATCAGCAAAAGCTACACTCCAATAAGCCTGTTTCCATGGTTAAATGCTAACCTACTCATAATAACATGTTTTTGAAAGTTGCAGTGACCTGAACCACATACTTCTCAAAACTCTATCTAAATTAGTAGTTTCCATTTTTAAAGATATTAGGTCCAATAAGTATAGTGCCTCCTCCCACCATGTGCCTTGCTAAATAAACAATAAAAATCTCTATTAGCTTCAGCTATTCCTTCAAAATGGAGTGCCCACAAAGGTAATCTTGAAGATTCTTGCATAGAGGTGCCCTGTGAGATCCTTGGATCAACAAGTATAAATCCCAGCTTCTTGTGCTGAATTCAGATTGTCTTCCTGATCCACTGCCAACTAAATTTGCCTCAACAACAACATAAGCTCTGATTTATTTCATCAGCTTTTATATCTGAATTTATCTTATTATTTAAATATGTATATACTGTTAGATACAAAGTTGTTAGATGCTTGGTTTGGACGTATAGCATTTAGCAAATATTCTGTTAATGTGCTTATTCTTTCACTACTTCATTTACTCTCATTCTCTTTTGTCTGTTTTTTAAAGTCTTGTGTGATGTGTGTTTGTTTGTTCCTGATTTTTCTGTGCTTCTTGAATGTTAGAAGAAAGTGATCCACAGCAAGAGGATTCAGGCATAGACCTCATAAGTCTCCTGTCCAAGTCAGCTCCAAAGACTAATTAATGGGTCCATTAGATAGTAGCACATTGTGCAAAGGCATTCGGTCACACTTTGTGGTGAGTCCCTCACCAAAACCTTCATAAAGAAACCTGACATCTTGTCAACTTGTGAAAGAAAATCATGTTGTTAGGTACATCATCCGATGTCAACTATTACTATGGAATTGATCATATGTCCACATTTTAGTCTCTGCTGCGTGGATGAAACCCAGTACTCCCTTCACCCGTTCACACCCAGGACACTATCACGCTTACGACTGAATGTTCTGTCCTCTTTACTGTTTGTCACGGACTTGTATGGAACAAAGGTACAGTCTACCCGGGCAGAATTCTACTTCCTCTTTGTACTCTCAGTATGATTCTACCTTTTGCACTTCTCTTAATAAGTGGCCAAATTTCGCAAAAGATGACTTTAGGTTTCAATGGGGAACTTTTGACACATCAAAAGGAAAGAATACATTTCATAGAATTTTTATCTCTCTTAGAAAAAAGAGAGAAAAATATCTAAACATTACCATTTCTCAACCAGTAACTTACTTTTAGACCATTATTTAACACTTTCTTTCTTAAAAAAACAAACAAACAAAAAAAACCCTACCTATTTAACAGGTAGGAATGTATTCTTCAAGTGAAACTAGCAGATTAAATGTGCCACAGAACTAGTTTCAGAATTTCTGAAAAAAGTTTTTGTACATGATCAATTTATAGTTGATTTGAACATAAGTATACCTGCACTATGCATAATTCAAGATCTGCAGGCAATAAATAAAAGAGGTATACTTGTTTTTCTTGTAGTGCCTAACCCAATTACTACATTCTCTCTAAAACCAAATCTTTTCTTCAATGCATTTATGCTCAGCTTTGTTTGATGTTCCAGCTGATAAGGATAGTCTATATTATTTGCTAGGAAACATCAATGGCTCATCTGAACAATTATGTCCTAGAGATTTACTTAAACCTCTTTGTGGTAGGCAAAATTCTAAGTTGACCCTTTAAGAATTCCTTTCTTAACCTCAGGGAACATGAATATCATGAGATATTACCCCCATCTTTACATTATGTTGTAATATAGACAACATAGGTTAAGCAAAATAGATTATCAAAAGAGATAATCAATACTGGTAAGGATGTGGAGAAAAGGGAACCTTTGAGAGCTCAATGTAAATTGGTAGAGTCACTGTAGAAAAGAGTAAGGAGCTTTCTCAAAAAATTAAAAATAGAAATACCATATGACACAATGATTCTACTTCTGGGTATATATTCAAAGAAAACAACATAACTATGTCAAGGGGATATCAAACCCCTCATATTTATTGCAGCATTGTTTACAATAGCCAAGACATGGAAACAACCTAAATGTCCATCAACAGATGAATGAACAGACAATATGTGTATATAATTGTGGTGATTTCACAATATATGTAAGTCGTGTCATTATGCTGTACATCTTAATCTTATACATTGCTATATGTGAATTACATCTAAATAATTAAAGAAAAATAGGATTGTTCTAGTTGGTCTCTTTCAACTGCATGAATTCTTTGAATGTGGAATTTTTTTTCAGGTTATATCAAAAGAAGAAACCAGATTCAAAGATGGTTGAGAAGGATTGAGAAAACTGCTAAAAGCTATTTCTGGATTGAAGATATGGGGCCACGTATCAAAGAAAGTGAGTGGCCCCTGGGAGCTAAGAACAATCTCTATTACAGCCATCAGCAACAAAACTGGGACTTCAGTCCTACAAAGACAGGGAACTAGATTCTGTTAACAATTTGGATAAATCTCTCCAGAGCTTCCAAATAAGAGTGCAGCCTGGCTGGCATCTTGATTTCAGTCATGTGAGATCCTGAGCAGAGAACTGTGTTGAACTTGTCCAGATTTGCAACCCGCAGAACTGTGACATAATACATTATGGTGCTTTGTTATGAAGCAATAAAAAGCTAAAACATTCTTATTTCCAATCTTAAATAGGACCTAAAGGATATAAAATTCATTCATACATTCTCTCTAATCCAGTACATAGGTCACATACGCTTATACTCTATAAATCTAGACAATTCTTGGTATCTGCCTAATTTTTTTAAGTCTCTCTTTCTTCCTCTCTTGTCTTCATCTCTTTATGAGAACTTGGTTTCTGTTTTTATAACTTTTCAGTCATAATTACCTTGTCCATCACAGGATAGTCGGCTAGAAGGAAGCTCCTCCGATTCTCCTTCTCTCTCCCTTTGGAGAGCTTCTACTTCACCAGACACTAAAGAGAAACAAGAAAATTATTGTCCGTGGATCCTGAGACAGTGAAGGGGAAGAGTTCCTGGGGCTCTCATGCTGCATATCTATACTCTGAGCCAAGATGAACTGCTTCCTCGGAAAAAATACCCAATCCAATAATCAACCTGAGGTGCTACAGAGCCATCTTTTGCATATCATTCTGCTTCCTTTATTTTTCTTTTACTATATGTAGTCCAAAGAATAAAATTAAAAGATTGTATTCTTCTAGATTCAAACTACCTATTCTTTGAAAATTGCAACAAGAAACTACCAGGATCACTTTAAAACTCATTCCAAATGGCCAACAACTACTAACATCATTAACTATATTTAAACAAGCTGATCAGTGGCAGCCTTACACTTCTCAAAATGGGCCAATCGGCAACAGCCACACTCCAGAAACCTGTGTCTATGATTAATGCTAACTTATTCATAATCTCTTCTGTATCTGAAAGACTGCTGTCCCTGAGTCACATGTTTCCCAAAAAGAAAAGGATACATTTGATAGTATTTCTATGAAAGAAGAGAAAAATGCCAAAATTTGCCAATTCCCAGCCATTACTTAACTCTTTATGAACAAAAAAACAAACAACAGAAAACCCTCTTTATATTTAGTGGATTGGGATCTATTCTGCAAATGAAACTATACGATTAAAGGACTAATCTTAGAAATCCTGGAAAATTCTTTTTCACATGATCAATTTATAAATAGTGTGAACAGTAGAACATCTAGACTATTCATGATTCAAGATCTATAGGCAATAAACAAGACACACAGGAAGCTCACCCTGAGATAACCAGGAAGACCAAGGAGGCTCAAGTATCTCCTACTGGGATGTCCCTGCCCCTAGACCTTTTTCGTTTTGGTTCACCTGATCTGGAGGACAACATGGTTGCTGTCACTATCATCACATCCTTTCCACTTGATCTACACATTTCTTCTGTAGGGGTATGTGAAGGAAATCAAGATAGGAGAAGAGAAGAAAAGAGGTGAAAAACATAAAAAATAAAGATTCCATTCATGAAGCGGGAATTGAAATCACAATTACCTTCTCTGTCACATAGTGCTGGGCTGGCCACCTCGTCTCGTTCTTTTTCGGTGATCATTTGGGGAGTTTCAGGATCACACAACACTGAAGAGAAACAAGAGAATGAGCTGAGCCAGGCTGTCCAAAGCACAGGTGAGCTGCCCTTTGGGAAATGGACATCTGCTCCAAGGACGTCACCTCATATCTGACCAGGAGCTGGTCTGCCTCTGACTCCACCTCACGACCTCATGCTTCTGCTCTCTGCTCTTCAGTTACCTAGAGACAGACCTCCAAACATTTCTGCTTCTGCACTAGGAGAGTCTTTGTGGTTCCTAGATTTTGTGAGCTCTGCTTCCCCTGACTTCTCCTATCTTTTTACTTTTCTATCATTCATTTCTCGTTGGTGATCTGGATCTCTTTTTTCTGCATATTCTCTCTAGCTCGCTTCTCCCAGGCCTCTCCAGTCCCTATACCAAAATCCAGCCCTTCGCTCAC